GTCCCAAGCTGGCCCAGAACTTGTGGCCATCCTCTTGCCTCTGTCTCCAGAGTGCTGGGACTACAGGAATGAGCCACCACACCCAGTCTGATATTAAAAGAACCTCTGTACCTCAATAAAACATCAGAAAGCTGGCTGAATGGTGACACATACCTATAATCCTAGGTCTTGGGAGGCAGAGGTAGGAGAACTGCTGAGTTCAAGGTCAGTCTGGGCAACATAGAAAGTTTAAGGTCACCCAAACTACAAAATGAGATCTTGATTCAACAAACACATAAATTAGTTTGCCAAGCCAGGACAGACAACAGCAGATGGAGAAAATGATTTTCTAATAATTAACCGCAAGACTCTTCAGATACAGAGGATTCCAATGCAGAACAAGTATGCATAAATAGAAAACAAACTTGTCTAGACAAAGGCTTTTCTCTCCTCAGAACCAGGTCAAGAACTAAATGTCTGTGTTTCACAATGGTGACACTAGAAGTTGGCCCACAGTATTTGGTCAGGCTATTTAATAGCTTGAGTCGTGTCATCTTCACTTTGACCCCCTTCATATTCACAGAAGTTTCCTTAATAAGCCCACCTGTCATTTTCCATTTTCTCTTCCTTAAGGCTTCACTGATTATTCAAAAAAGTGAATCATTATTCACTGATTATCCAAAAAAGATATCGCTCCAACCTCAGAAAAACCACTGAATTCAAATTTTCCTCTTGTAGAAACCCTGCTTTTGAACAAGTATTTGTTGGAACACCAAATTATTATATAAATATACACTAGTAAATAAAGTATATGCATCTATTAATTCTCAGGAATTTGCCCTGGGTATGATGAGGCATTTCTGTACTCCCTGTACCCAAGGAGCTGAGGCAGGAGGACCCTTGCAAATTCCAGAACAACCTGGCCTACAAAGTGAGCTCAAGGCCAGCCTGAACTGCATAGTAAGACCCTGTCACAAAAAGACAAACAAACAAAAATTCTCAGGAATTATAAAAGATTCCCTCACTTGTGGTACAAGTTTTGGCTCCTAACACTTTGCACAAGGATTTTACAAATCTTTTAAGGCATTTGAAAAAAGACCCACATCGAGAAAATCTAGAGAAAATGACAAAAGTATACTACTGCTTAGAAAATTGTTTTTAAATTTTTATTTTACTTATGGTGCTAGGAATTGAGCTCCCAAGGCCCTTACAATGCTAAGCACATATTCTATCACTGAGCTACACTGGGCCTAAAGCCAATTTGTGTGTGTAGATGAAACCCACAGCCCTGTACTCAGTGCTAGGCAAGTGCTCTGCCACTGAGCTACATCCCTAGCTGGTTGATTTTTAAAATAATCACTAATCAAAAAAAAAAAAAAAAAAAAAAAAAAAAAATCCATGCTAAGCACATACCTGTAGTCCCAGTACTTGGGAGGGAGGACTGCTGTGAGTTTGAGGCTAGCCTAGGCCTACACAGTGAGTTCAAGGCCAGCTCGAACTGCAAAGCAAGACTGTCACAAATAGTCCAAGTTTTAGTCCAAGTTTCTATAATACATCTGATAATGAAATTTCCAAAAAAAAAAAAAAAACACATGTAGCTTTATTGGCCTAACATGTGATCCTAGGATCGCCACATCTCTTCTGAAGTTTTATTGGCCTAACATGCGATCCTAGGATCGCCACATCAACTGAAGTACTGAAGTGCTTGATAAAACAGTTGCCACCTCTGAAGGACTGAGGAACTTGCAATGTGAACAAGAATCCCAGGTCATGATGCACACGAATTTACAGATCCCTTAAAATGATCTGTGCCGGTGATCACAGACAGGTATGCACTATAATGACTTTCTTTCTTTCTTTCTTGGAGCAGGGATTGAACTCATGATCTGGCATGCGCACCACTGAGCTAAAGATTGTTCTTTAACCTTACTAAAACAAAAATGCTAGTCAATGTTCTGTTCTATGCTACACAGTCAGACAGTTTAAATGAATACCTGAGTTGGAGAGACAGACCACCTCAAAGTCCTGATATTTATACAAACTCAGTTAAAAAAAAATCTCAGTTTTGTTGAAAACAATTTCAGACTAGGACTTACACAGTGTATGTGCAGTGGTATACGTCTGCTGTAAAGGAACTATTCATTTAAGTACTTAGAAATATAAAAACTTAACTGATTTCCTCAAACATCTTAGTTTGAGGCCTGGCATTATAGTGCATACCTGTCTGTGATCACCGGCACAGGCTGAAGGAGGAGGACTGCTGCAAGCTCAAGACCAGCCTGGGCTACAGAGAAAGACCTTGTCTCAAAAAAGGGGAGAAAAAAAAGGGGGGGGGGATAAAAAAAATCCTAGTTTAGAGGAATAGTGCTAAGGATTAAGTCCAAGGCCTTCTCTTAACAAGTATTCTGCCACTGAGCTAGATGACCAGACAAGTTTGTAAGTTACAAAATGGAGTCACTCACAGACAATATTAAAGTGACTGCTTTGTACTACTTCATGTGGATAAAAAAGAAGTCAGATAAATATCAGGACTTTGAGGTGGTCTATCTCTCCAACTCAGGTATTCATTTAAACTATCTGACTGTGTAGCATAGAACAGAACATTGACTAGCATTTTTGTTTTAGTAAGGTTAAAGAACAATCTTTAGCTCAGTGGTGCGCATGCCAGATCATGAGTTCAATCCCTGCTCCAAGAAAGAAAAGAAAAGAAAGAAAGAAAGAAAGAAAGATCTTCTCTCAGGAAAGAAAAAACTATATCTCACCATGAGAGTCAATCTTTTTTTTCCAGGTCAGATGACTATTTTGCCAGCTTTGTAAAAACGTACCTTAGGTGGGGCATGATGGCTCGTGTCTAGTCCCAGTACTAGAGGCTGAGGCAGGATTTCCCTAAATTCAAGGTCAACCTGATCAACTACATATGAGTTAAAAGGGTACCCTGAACTAGATCACAAGAGCCTGTCTCAAAAAACAAAAACGAAAATAAAATTTTTAAAAAATTTAATTAAAAAATTAAACCTATCTTCATGTTACTAGTAACAATTATCAATTAAGCTTCAAGGTAATCTAGAAAGCTCAGGCAGGTGAGTGCAAAGCTGAGAAGCTGAAAGGCTGCTTGGTATCCTGATCATACTGCTTAGTTCTTAGAAAATTCCACTACTGAGTTTGTTGGGCTTTGCTGACTTTAAGGATCAAAAGCTTTCTCAATTCCAATTTATAGGTTTCTAGGATCCTCAGGTCATCTCTAAAACAAAAGTACAGAAAATAATGATGTCCCAACTCTTCATTTCAAAAGCATTCCTTACTTGGGAGATAAATTCATAAGGCAAATCCAGACCAGGTGTGGTGGCAGATACCTGTAATTCTAGTCCTGGGAAGTTAAGGCAAGACTGCCTTGCGTTTGAGGCCAGCACGGGTTACATATTGAGTTCAATGCCAGCTTGAATTATATAGCAAGACTTTGTCTCAAAAAAAAAAAAAAAAAAAAAAAAAAAATCCAAACAAAAACAAAAAACGGTAAATGCAAGGTTTTTCCAAATTCATGTGGGGGCATGATTATCTGGTCTAGATTAGTAGCTCATGAAGAGGCTAATTATAGTGTTCCCTATTCTGCCAAAACACTATCTAGAACTTGCTTCATTTCCCAAGAGGTTTTCTTACCCTGTTTCCTAGTTGCAAAGTAGCAATAGCCAAATAAGACAAGTATCTCTCAAAAGATCAAACTCTACCTTGCTGCTAAATGTCTAGAAACACCCCAAGGTAAATCCTACAGGTTTTATTTTAATTGCAGGCTGCCAACCATGCATGACAACACAGAGCAAGTCCCATCATTCTAAGCCTTTTCTTTAATTTAGGTGCTGACAGTTTCAAAATGTACAGAGAAAATGTAAGTTCTCTGCAAAAGTCAAGGTCACTTGTGGGGCCGCCCTGCTTGGGCTAGAGTGCTGGGACTAGCTTGGCACAGCACTTTCTGTATAAAGGGCCAAATTATCCAGAGGCAAAGTACTATCAATTTGTTTTCTTGTTGTTGTTTTGTCTTTTTCCTTTTTATCGGTACCGGGGATCGAACTCAAGACTGTCTGCTTGCGAGGCAGGTGCTTATGACGCTGAGCTAAATCCCCAGCCACTTGTACTATCAATTTGAAATTGGAAACATTATTTGTAGTATTTCTATCCTCCAAAAGGAAACAAAATTCAAGAGCCCGGAAAAATACAAGGGCATTTCAGGGTAGAGGAGACTTCACAATCAACTATAAAACCTGAGTGAGCAAGTAGTAGGACTGGTCATGTGACCTTGGCTTTACTACCTCTTGGCGAGTTTATCTACGGGCCAGGAGTTGGGTGGAACAACCTTTCTGGTTTTTTCTCCAATCGTTCGTGATAATTATGCAAAAGATTTTACATGAATGCCCCACCATACCCAAGTTCCTCCTGTAGAATTAAGTGCAAGCTTCTCAAGGACAAAGAGGAGCAGTACGGTCCCATTCTTCCAGGAGAAACTGCTTGAGTGAGGTTACTAAAGGTTTTGATAATTGAGCTGAAGAAATGGAAACACGTACTTTAGGAACTGACAAGTATCTAGGAAGCAAGGCCAAAATTAGCCACCACTCCAGCAAAGGGAGTGAGCTGATCTGTTCGTCTCCAGCCTCCCTGCCAAACAATTCTTTCCGTAACTCCAGTGGAACGCTGAACGTCAATTCTCCTTCCTCCCTTGATGGCTTTTTTCCGAGCCACATATCCTTTCCTTCCACCTTAGACATGTGGGGTAACGATAGGGTCAGGCCTCCCCACCGCCCCCGGTTGCAGGCCGGCGCGAGCAGCTTTTGCTTCACTCAGGAGCCGGAAGGGCAGCATAGCACATGGCCGCGGGAACCGTCGGTCGCGCTGGCGGGCAGCTAAGCACAAGGCCCCTTTAAGGAGCCCAGGGGCGCGCACGGGCGTGGGAGGCAGACCCTGGCGCTGGAGGGCTTGCGGTAGCCTCAGCCCCACCCCAGGACGGCGCACTCCCTCCCCTAGTTGCTCACCTTGGCTCCCAAGAGCCGGGCGGCCGCAGTGAGTAGAGCCATGGCCGGCGAATCGCAGGTCTGGTGGGAAGGGAAGGAAAGGAAGAGAGCTGCGGCAAGAACAGCAGCCGCCGCCGCTGCACCACAGGCCGCAGTAACCGATGGACAAGGTTGAAAAGGTGGCTGAGGCAGAGTAGACGAACCGGCAGCGGCGCCCAGCCCGGGGTCCTTACAGAAGCCACGCCCTCACCCGAAATTTTATCCCTCCCCTCTCAAGCGATTCATTCTAGGGTCCTCCATTGGCCCAGTGTGGAATCGGGGCGGGACCTGAGCGGTTGACAGCTCTGGTGGCGGGGAGGATTGGACCGCGCGGGGTAGTCTAATTAAGGGTGAACGATGTGTGGAGAGTTGGAGGTGGCTAAGGTTGTGCCTGAAAACTCAGTTAACTTCTTTAGATTTTTTCTTTGCCTTTAATACGTTTCGGGTTCTCCGAAGTGTAATGAAAGTGAAGCTCCAGGTAGGACTCGACCTTTGAAGGTCTTCGGGAACCAGACTGGTTAATGTAGTGTCACAGCAACCTATCGTTGTCGTCTCCTCCTGTCCCCTTAGCATACCTTTTTTATTTATTTATTTTGAGACAGGGTCTTACTGTATAGTTTAGACTGACTTTGAACTCACGGGGTAATGGGCTTGCTTCGAATTTGTGGAGATCCTCTGCTCCCAAGTGCAGACTTTCTGGAAGGACGTCTGGTTAATTCCTTCATGACTATGGAGGTGACATAGTGTGGAAAAGAAGGTATGATGCTAGAATTAGCTGGTTGGTGGAGTTTCTTTGAGGTCAGCAGAGGCCCTCGTATTGTAGATATTAACAACCCAATATGTACAAAAAAGCAAAAATAATAATCTGAATATCTAGGGCATTGTGAGGTGACCATTTTATGTTAATTTATTTTTGTTTTTGAGACAGGGTCTTGTTAGGTAGTTCATGCTGGTCTTGAACATGAATTTGCTACAGTGCTCTTGCCTCAGCCTCCTAAATGGTGGGATTACAGGTGTGTGCCACCATGACCAGCTCAATTGTCTTTAAAGCCAGGACATATTCAAATGTAAAAACACCCCTTTAGTATGATGCCTTTAATAACCTGTCAGATGCTCTGAATCCTGGACATTATTCTCACTGCTGATCCCCAGCCATAAAATCCCATGCAGCCAATCCACCTTGCATTTAGTCAAAAGACCAGAAGCTGCAGACCAACCCCTTATCCAGGATTAGGCATCAGGCACTTTCCTTTTGGGTCACCTCACTCAAATTAGTCCCCAGAGGGCTTCTGGACCACTTCTAATTGGCATCTTCTATACCTTTTTTTTCTTTCTGGAAACAAGGTCTCCCCAACTTAACTATATACCCAAAACTGGCCTCAAACTTGAGGCAGTCCTCGCGCCTCAGCTTTCTGGGTGCTGGAATTGCAAGGGTACTCTTACACTGAGCCGTCTCAAAGACCCATAGCACTAAAGTGATTTCCCCTATGCTCTAACTTTTCTGAGTATAACAAGACCTCAAGACTTTTGGACCTTCCTTAAGCCTGTTTTATCATTGGTGTAAGAATAAAAAGCTGACCCAAAGACCAGAGCACCTTATCTGCAAACTCCAAGGGAACAGTCCCTTTATCTCCCCATAGCAGTAATAAGGTTCATAAGATCTAGGATCTGTTTAAGCCAGGTTTGCACAGACCTCATTTTTAAAAAGTTTATAGGTTGGACTTCAAACAAGAGAAAGAAAGCTCTTACTTCCTCTTTCCAAGTTTTCTCACAGCCAGCTTCACACCTACCAATAGTCCTCTGGTGTGGGATACAGATAAGTACTTTGTTTCGTTTTGTTTTGTTTTTCATTTTTTAAGGCCAGGTCTTGCTATGTAGTTTAGGCTAGCTTTGAACTCACTATACAGTCTAGACTAGCATTGGAACTCACAATAATCCTCTTGCTTCACTCCCCTAAGTGCTGGAATTATAAATGTGTACCACCACACCCAGGTCAGATAAGTAGTTCTTACAAAAGAACTTCATTGGGCTGGGGATTCAGCTCAGCAGCATAAGCGCCTGCTTTGCAAGTGTGCAGTCCTGAGTTTGATCCCCAGTACCAAAAAACAAAAAAATAGGGCTGGGGATTTAGCTCAGTGGCATAAGTGCCTGCCTGGCAAGCACAAGGTCATGAGTTCGATCCCCAGTACTGCAAAATAAATAAATAAATAAAAGAACTGGGGCTGGGGATTTAGCTCAGCATAAGTACCTGCCTTGCAAGTGTGTGGTCGTGAGTTCGATCCCCGGTACCAATAAAAAAAGAAAGACAAAAAAAAAAAAAAAAAAAAATTAAAAAGAGCTTCATAAAGAGAAGCCATGTAAAGCCCCAGAGCAGTACTAACCTCAGTTATCTTGGTAATTTCAAAGCTCCACTGATCAATATATGCTCCTAATTTAGCATCTCATAGATTATTTCCTCATAACCCTAGAATAGTCTAAGCTGGTTCCTAGCTTCTGATTAATCATTCACACGGACTAACAGCAAATCAAAGAGCTGAACTTCAGTGCCCGAGACAAGAGATATTCTCAGAATAAATCTACCAAAGAGACAATTATTGGATATCCATAAATGTAACTTATTTTGGAGTTTTAACAAAAGTGTGGGTGGGGAACAGTAATGTTCTAGGTCCTTTGACATAGGATCCTGGAGCCTCGTGTCAAGAGGACTTTAAACATGTTTTGAGGGGCCAGCGAGTTAAATCAGCGGCTCAAGTGCTTGTATGGTAAGCATGAGGTCATGAGTTTGATCCCCAGTACCAAAAAAATACAGAATTCCAGTAAACATGTTTTGAGCCTGGCATGGTGGCACATTCCTGTAATCCCAGCACTTGGGAGGCTAAGGAAGGAGGATCACAGAGGTTGAAGGCAGTCTTGGCTACACAGTGAGTTCAAGGCCAGCCTGGACTACATAGCAAGACCCTGTCTGAAAAAAAAACATGTCTTAGAGTTGTCTAATCTGACATCCACTGCTACAAGACTAGTGAGAAAGTCCAGGGATTAAAGAGGCTAAATGTGATCTTGCAGAAGCTGGTTTAGGTCTTTCAGTGATAGAGATTCAATTTAGGACCTTAGTACTGATGTATATCCCTAACTCTTTTTATATTTTGAGACAGGGTCTTGCTAAATTGCTGGTTACTCAGGCTGGACTCAAATTTGTAATCCTGCTGCTTAGCTTCCAGAATTCTAGATTACAAGCATGAGCCACCACACCTAGGTTTTTTTGGCAGGGTTGGGGAAGCAATGCAATGAAAGGAAGGCTCCTAGATGCTAGGGAGGCCTTCTACTTCTGGAATGCATCAGTGGAGTACTCCAAATCTCTTTTTGAACATATCTAGGGTTGGGGGAGATGGAAAGTTAAAGAGATTGACTGAGTGCAGTAGTGCACACCTGTAATCTCAGTTCTCAGAAGGCTAAGGCAGCAGGATCTCAATTTCATTGCCAACTTGGGCTATATAGGGAGTTCAAGGCCTGGACTATAGAATTCTAGATTACAAGCATGAGCCACCACACCTAGGTTTTTTTGGCAGGGTTGATGATAAGGAATGATACCTGTCCAAGGAAAAGGAGAAAGAGGAGAAAAACTGATTGAAACTGGTATGAATAAAGCAGCAAAGTGAGCTCTAGATTTAATTCTGTGTACCAGAATTGGGAACAGAAAGCTGAGCACTGCGATCATGACCTTGGGAGGACTTCTTTAAAACAGATAGGGCAAGTGGTGCCCCCTAGTGGCCAAGAACAAGTCAGAGAATGCTGCCTAAATATAACAAATTACCTACCATGGCTAAACCAAATTTCTGCATTTAATAGATAGTATCTAACATGCACTGAGCGCTTACTACTTCCACTTATCTAACTATGTACAGACAACAATTCTAGTCCTCACAACTCTAAACTCTTAGCTAATAGTATCTCTAAAGAAGAAATCAAGCATGGTGGTACACACCTGTAATCCCAACAGTCAGGAGGGAAGACAAGGATTGCTGGAATTTTAAGACCATGTTAGGCTACATAGCTGAACTGGTCAGATTAATCTTAGCCTCCAAAATCTTTCTAAACTACCACAATTCATTCTGGTTTTGAGAGGTCTCACTATAGTCCAGGCTGGTCTCAAACACATCAACCTTCCTGCCTTAGCCTCTTGAATGCTAGGACTACAGGTATGCACCACCATGCCTGGCCCAAGATTTATTATTTGAATGTTTATGAATTATTAGCTGCAACTCAATATGGGGCTTTTTTTTTTTTTTTTTTACTTTCTGGTGCTCTGCATTGAACCCAGGGCTTCATGCATGCTAGGCAAGCACTCTACAGGGTCAGTCACATTCCCAACCCCAAGAGCATTTTTAGGTCATTATCAACTGTCTCCTAGAGACATCAGCACAATGTGTTCTAATAGATATTGAAAAAGATAAGGAATGATACAGTCTAACTCATCAGTAAAACCTTTGTATACCCATAACTGAAATTAGTGACAATTCCTCCCTGTCCCAATACATAAAGATAGGACAAATACTTAGCTAAAATGACCAAGAACAGTAATAAGGATTTTATTTATTTATTCATTTATTGGTACTGGAGATTGAATCCAAGGCCTCGTACATGCTAGCCAAGTGTTTCACAACTGAGCTACATCTAAAGCCTTAAGTATTTTGTTTTGAAAGGGGTCTTGCTATATTGCCCAAATTGGTGTCAAACTCCTGACCATGAGCAATCTCCCCTCACCTGACCACGAGCAATCTCGCCTCACCTTCCTGAATAGTTACACCTTGCTGTAAAAGGGTTTTTCTTTTCTTTTTTTTTTTTTTTTTTTTTTTTTTGGAGGAAGAGGAAGGGTATTGGGATTCAACCTGGGGCCTTCAAGTTGAGCTATGCCCACCACCCATTTTTGTTTTTAAATTTTGAAATGGGGTCTCACTAAGTCATTAAATTGCCCAGGCTAGACTCCAATTTTCCATTCTCTTGCCTCAACTTCTCAACTAGGATTATAGGAATGTGCTGCCATACCTGATTTAAAATAGGTTTTGTATTTTTTTTTTTTTTCTCTTGTCTTTTTATGACAACATTTCCCTATGCAGCTCAGGCCAGCCTCCAACTTGCAGTGATTCTCCTGCCTCTGCCTCCCAGTGCTGGGATTACAGATGTGTAAAATAA